ATGCAATTAATATGCATACAGTATATTCAGATAATAAATTTTATGAATATTTACAGCATATTTTAATTAATAAAAAATGTTTTTAATGTCATCATGAAAATAATAACAGTACTGTTAATTATTTTTTTAAACAGCCATTTAATAATTAATCTGTAATTGATTTCATAATTTAATAATCAGTTTGAAATTTTTTGCAATTTTATAGCAGACAGCTAAGGAGATCTCTTAATAAAGAGAGTAGCATTGATAAGTATGCTATTTAATGTGACCATTAAAACTCGTACAGTTTAATAATTTTAATTTAAGTAACGCGTTTTTGCTGCCCAGCTGAAATTTAATCCTATCGCCAAAGCCTCATCCAAATTCTTAAAGATCTCTCCGAAAGACTACAGAACTTCTTCCTGGAACTCGGTTAATATTTAAGTACTTCATCGCATTGATGACAATGCATCGCAGGTGTTGCCATCCCAGTAAATGCCGGTTTCTCTTTCGGACGATCGCCTGCATTATTAAAATTCGAGTCCCGGTCATCTTCTCTCATTTTCCCCTAAGCGAATTATAAACCCATTTACGCGGACAGACCTGTCACGTGATTGACAAGTCGGAGGGAAACTTTTAAGCGAAATTTTAAAATGAGTTGAAAAGATGCGACGATTTCGCCAGAGGCGAGAGATAAACAAGCGAACGCTGCACCGCTTTTATTTTGGTATTTATTCAATTTTCTGCTGTTTCAGAATTTACGCACCACTCTCGAACGAAATTAATTCTCATGAATTCTTAAAGCTTCGATGGCTTGAAAATTTTGTCCGATATGATACAGTTCTCTCTTTATATGCATATTTTAAGTGCATACATAAGTTTAAAAAAGAGGGATTTTATTCCCTTACATAAATATGTATCTATATCAAAGTTGATTATAACTTTTTTATGCTAGAAGCCTCTTTAGCGGAGTCTTCTCAAATTATTTCTATTATTACTTGTTGTAACTTCACCTGCATTTGTCTTAAGAGATTATTTTCCGTCTGAGAAATTATTCACGAATGTTGGAATCGGAAAAAATGAAGGAAGTAAATGGGAAAGAAAATGCGTCACATCCGTTTTGGCGAGTGTTTAATCTGAAACTAACATTATAGTGTTCCTCGAAATTGAATATTCACTCTTAGGTCACCAAGGACCAGTAATCTTTACAATATCACAAGCTTAATTTAATTTTAGCGATTTATGAAACTTGAATGCCAGAGACCTATGGATTGATTTCCAGAAGCCATAGGTCACCGGTGACGACCATGTCTAAATATACTTTTCTATCGGTTAACCACAACGGACCATCGATTTATAGGTTACCAATGACCAACAGCCTCGATGTACAAGGGATCAGAGACCTATGGATTGATTTCCAGAAGCCATAAGTCACCGGTGACCATGTCTAAGTATACTTTTCTATCGGTTAACCACAATGGATCATCGATTTATAGGTTACCAGTGACCAACAGCCTCGATGTACAAAGGTTTTCACGGATTAATTTTAAGTTATAAATCTAAATATACTACACAATCTGCGCCATTGACCTATGCGTTTATCATTAATGACTATCAACATGTAGATTGCTTGTGATCAGAAGCTTCAGAGGCAGAATTTTTTTTTTATTTTAAAATCTCTCTACATTTATTGTACTGCCTCACACAAGCAACCTGTAGGTCAAACACCAGAAACCGTCAACCTGTACGTTACCAAGGATCGAACAGCTTTGATGGGCACCGATATTCTTAATTTTAATTTAAGAGGTTCTTTTTACAACTAAGTACAAGAAATATGCCGAAGCATATTTCCAATTGCTGCACAAGTCCATAAAATAGCATTTCAAGTTTTATGAATTTCATGTTTCCAAACTGTGATTAAGTAATCTCTATTTTGGCACAAATGTTGGTAATTTTCAAAAACATGCCAAAATGCAAGGCAGGTAAACCAGCGTTAAAATTTAAATGAAAAGTAATAAAATACAACCCAGAATTTAAAAGCGACTCTCTTCCTATTCCCCAAGGCAAAAATACCAACGAGTGCAAATACTGTTCAACTATTTCAGCTGCACATGAGCATGAAAAATGATTAAGAATCTTCAAGCATGGGAAATAGCACATCAATACAGAAGTATTACAGGGCTTTCCCAATAAAGACGCAACTAACGCGTCAAAGCTATGCTCAACCAGTTTAATGTTAATAAGTAGCAATATGATAACCAAGTTCACATGACACATGAAAGTAAGCTATGACAAATAAAATCAACAAATAGAATATATAAAATTATTACTCCTCTAAACCTAAAAGTATTTTCGTTTTACATTTATTTTTACTGTCATGCGTGCATCATATGCGAAGCATGCGTAAAATAATGTGCGAAATGCTCAGAATGCTCTTGTAAATTTTGCAACTAGTTGTGACTATTTGATTCTTATTTTATTTTAGTCATGCAATTTTAATTTGTTGCGTATTCTTTTATTTCTTTATTTACTTTGTTTATACCTTATTTACTTTATAAATTATTTATTTTATCTAACCAGTAATTTTACGTTAAGTATCTGTACTGCCATTCTCCCTTTCCGTTTTCCTGCCATAATTCAAATTTTAGCTCGCGCGTATTTAAATGAAGTAGAGAGAGAGAAAGAGATTATTTAAGAGGAGGGGGTTTTAGACTGCTTAAACAGAGCGTGTTCCAGCTGCTTGAAGACCACGTTACTAGTTGAGTTTCTACAATAGGATTCTGTCTTCGGCGTTGCTTTATTTCTGCAAAATAACGCTTGTGAGCGGGTATAGGTTTGAGCCATCTAGCACGTTAAGCATTTCTTTGTAACTTTTGGCTAATTTCCTATCTAGATTTAGCTTTAACTTGAAGTTCCTTAATTTTGAGTTACGCTATAAATCCTGGCATGTGCTCAAACCAGCCAGTTCTTCTGTTTAATTGTATTGAGTTCTTAATAAAAGAGCCTTTTACATCTTTCTTACGTCTTTGTTGTGATTAACCAGACATATCGATAAGTCGCTTACGTCTGCACAAGCGTATTGATTAGCGGATGCTACCTAAAAGATCAGACACTACAACTTATTTTGGTGATTTTGTGTGGTAATTTTATGTTTATTTATTATTTATTTTACTTTATATTCTCTTTACAAGCGTTTATAGTGCATTCCTAATTTTTTTTGTTTCTTGTTGTATGCTGTAGATCTTTTAATTGAGTCGCCTGACATTTGATTTGTGAGAACAGTTCACGCCGAACTTGTAAAATGGACAAAAGGCTTCCCAATCGACAAAAGTAAAGATTTTTATCTCTATGTTGGCTACATTTGGTGACTTCTAGAATTTTCGGAGAACGACGTTTCTGAAACGTGCTTACAAAAATTAATTATCAATTACAAACTAAAACAGTTATCAATAGAATTATTAATAGAGCAAAACGCTTTCTAGTTTGTATTAAGTAAGAAGTTGTATGCATCTCTAGCAAGTTATTTTGATTTAAATAAGAACGAGATATTCACTTTTAGTTTTGTAGACTGAGTTAGAAAATGCTTGCATATTGTCAATTTAGCAAAATAACTTCGTTACTCATTAATCTGGAAATTTTTGCATTGTAATGCAATTTAAAATTGTTTTCAGCTAAGCCAAGTAAGAAATTGCATTTGTAAACGTCTTGTGAATTGTGTTAATGCGAAAAGTATTTTGCATGAAAGAGTAACTTTAAAAATTTTGGAAAGAATGAAATGAGTAAATACACCCCCTATGATACTAAACGAAATATAACTGTCTAAAACCGTCTAAAACCTTGTAAACTAAATTTTTCCCATTGTTCTAAATTATTTTCCTTCCAGATACCTGGCAGGAGACAAGACGAGAAAGCGTAAAGAAGAATTGTATGGATCCGCCACGATTATCATCTGTAACATTAAGAAAGATTTAAATTTCAGAGGCTGACTCACGCTTAGGTTTAAAATATAAATATCTTATCCAGGATTTTGAAGCTTTATTTATGGGATAAATAAATTCTGGTTAGAGAACATCTAGATCTCTTAGTCTGAATAACCAATTATTTTAATTTTGGTATCTTTCCTAAACTTCTTATTTCCTCTCGCATTTTTTTGCCAGGATACAAATTAGACTGAAGTAAAGAGAGTATTTAGACAAGCAAAACGAGAAAGACAGAACGCAATGTCGCTAGTTGCTATCCTTAGTTGCGGCTGCAGCTGTTAATCTTAGTTGCGGCTACGCATTCTGGCCGTTTATTAAGTATATCGCCGGTGTAAGTTGTGTAGTCTAGCACTACTATTTACCATTTTGACTTTATTGTTAAATTATCCTTAAATTCCTCACCGCAAATAGTCGGTGTTATTGCAAGCGCGAAGTACATGCCTTTTTGTTAAAGAGTTTGAGACTTAAAAGGATCGGTACTTTTCCGTTTGGCCGGCGCAATTTCCCATTTCGCCGGCGCAAGCGATAAAGTCGCCGAAAATGGTAGAATTGATGCCAAAAGCGAATATCTTCGCTGATAACCTTTCACGGCACTTTTTCAAAACAAGTCGTTGAGATTTATTATTAGATTTACCTTTTTTCTTTTCAATATTGGCATACAGTTACATAGAATTTTTTTTAATTATAATATTGAAATAATTCTTGCATTTAAACTCGTATTCCATACTGAGATTTAACTTGAAATTAATGTAGATAATTCCTGAGAGAATCAGATTTTTGTAGCGTATTTTACGTGAGATGAGATCGTTTGGGATCACGTGATATTAACCTGCGAATCAAGAGGTTATACCATGAAAGCATAGTAAATCTTTAATTTAACGTCTTTAAATTCTTAAATTAACGACTTTTACAAATATGTCAAAAATGGATGAAAAACCAATGAAAATTTGGGATTTGCCCAGGACAGAGGAAGAATCCGTCAGATTCTTTCAAGCGAAAGGCGTTTTGCCTAACATTGCTATTTGTGAAAATAATCATGAAATGAAATTATATTTCGGAGACGAAATTCAATGCCGTTGCAACCTTTCAACTTGCCGCAGTAAAAGAAGTATACGGAAAGGCACATGGTTTGAATCATCGAGATTGAGTGTTTTGAAGTGTTTAAGATTCATTTATGGTTGGAGTGAAGAATTAACTTCAGTTAAATGGTGTGAAAAGCAGTTGGAAATCAGTCACGGAACAGTTGTGGATTGGAATAACTACATGCGAGAGGTTTGTGTGGATTCTTTACTTAAACGTCAACAACGCAAAATAGGAGGCCCTGGTATGATCGTTGAAGTGGATGAAAGTATGTTCACGAAGCGCAAAAACAACGCGGGACGGATTTTACCACAACAGTGGATCTTTGGTGGAGTTTGTCGTGAAACAAACGAATGTTTCCTTGTGATGGTGCCAAACCGATCCATGAGTATTATATTAGAGGCAATAAATGAAAACATCGAAAAAGGAACTACAATATATTCCGATTCATGGAAATCATATTGCACTGAAAAACTGGAAGAGGAAAGTTTCGAACATTTCAAAGTGAACCATAAATACAATTTTGTAGATCCGGAAACTGGAACGCACACGCAAAAAATTGAAAGACTATGGGGAAGCGCAAAATGGCGGAATAAGAAACACAGAGGAACTGCTCGGCATCATCTGGAAAGTTACCTCGCCGGATTTATGTGGCGAAAAAACACTAAAGACCCATTTGAAAAAAAACGATATTAAAATATTTATGCCTCCAAAATAAAAAAAAAAAAAAAATGTTTAAAATTCTTAGAATTAACATTTCTTAACATTTTTTTATGTGTATACTGTGTGTTGTCGCCAATAAGGTCTGCTTGGCGAGATTTGCGCCGGAGAAAGGGAAATGGCGAGGTATGCGCCGGCGAAACGGAAAAGTACCAAAGGGTCATTTACACCCTTCTTTTGCGCTTGTTAAATAAAAATTGTTCACTCCTGTGCGAGAAGTACCAAGATCAAGTCACTTGCCTGATAGCGAAAAGAGTGAAATCTTACAAGTTTTTTAGACATAGCAATAACTCGCTATTCCTCTGATTAAGGTCTGCAGGCTTTTAGCTTCCAGTTACAATAGCAACCCTGCAAATGCAATGCCCTTATCAAACCGACGGACACGAAACATAATAAAAAATATTTTCGAGAAACATACTTCTTGCAGAATAATTTTGAACGGCAGGTTTTGTAACCGTAATTTTGGGCAAAATGCTACATTCAGTGATCTATTTCGTATGCATATCCACAATGTTTTACAACGTTGAGAGAAAAATTGTTTCAGAAGCTCTGTTTCGCGTTGGTCAAACAAGCACATGAAGGTTTTTCCTCCGTGGTTGTGTACTTCTAAATGTTTCCTTCCTCACTTCTGGTGAAAATTTTCTCGGAAATGGTTCTCATTGCAGTTAACATCCGTAAGTCTGATAAGACCACTCTACTTTTAATTTATATTTCAAATTCAGCCATTCGTAGCTGCTTATAAAACGTGTAAATCTAAAAGCTGTAAGTGTTCTTCCTAATGATTTAAACTAACATTTTATTTTTAATAACATATGATTGATATTTTTAAATGCATTTCGCTTTTAATATGCCCAACTGATTGTTTTTGTCAATATGCTGTACTATTGTAATTAATAAAAATCCTATATATTATATATGTCAGCATAAAATTGTTTTGTTTATCAATCATTGAAATGGACCATGATTGCATTAGTCCAAATATTCAAAGGGTTAATCTTCGGATTATGGTAACTTGGCGATTTTTGGGGGGAAATTTGGCGACCGACCCTGCTACAGCAACCTGCTAGTTTTTTTGGGGGGGGATGCCATTTTGTTTTGACGAAGTAAAGGCATGGTTGTTTTTTTTTTTTTTTTTTTTTTTTTTTTTTTTACTCAACATTTTTTTCCAACAATCTGCTAGCCGAATTACGCTTATGCTAGAACTTTTATGGTTGGTTTGGTTTATTAAATTATGGCAAAGCACTCGAGGGCTATCTGCCTTAAGGGAGGGATGCCTTCGTGGAGGTCTTTTTAAGGGAAACTGGCTCGTATACACGTTACGCATGGGGAAAACCACGAAAACGCCCATGCAGCCAGCCCGTTCGCGGGATTCGAACCTCGGACCGAACTACCAGTGTTCATCGACGTTACCGCTCGGCCGCTGGTGGACCAGAACTTTTATGGAACAAAAGTGCTTAATCATGACGAAGGTTAGGTGCGAAATTGGGAGAAAGTGCAGAATCGCCCACTTCTTGCCGCGTTTTTAAGAATTGCACATACACGGTATCATCCATGTACACGTCGAGCTATTTTCACTTAAAAAAACACCCCAGAATTGCACAAAAATGGCATTGTGCACACTCTTGACTTTATCCATGTACACTGCTAAAGTCCTAGCTAGTAACCTTTATCGCCTTACCAAAATGTCGCCAAACTACCTGCTACCATATTCCAAAGATTAGCCATTCAAAGCTGTACTCTCTAACTTATTTATCATCTAAAAAACTATTTCAGTTCATCAACATCAGTCCTTTTATCAGTCCCTTGCTTGACCTCTACCTCCTTTGATTGATGGTTCGTATGCTTAACAAATAATAACAGGGAAGAAAAACTCTCCAAACGAACAACTTTTCCAAACTTCTTCAAAACCGTGGTTATTAAGAAACATTTCCTAACAGCAGGTGTTTTGTTTCACCAGGCAAATCCGGAAACGCAAATTTTTTCGCTTTCTTTCTTTCTTTTCTTTCCCCTTATTCCATGCAATGATCTGAAACTATGTTCACATAAAAGAAAGACTGCGTATACTTCTAGTAAAACGGTAAGAGGGGAAAAAAGCGCAGTAAGATGATTCATTATCACTTTGCTTCCTTCCATCCCCGTGAGCAATTCCAAAAACCTCTTCTAAAGCTATTTGCGGGACATTCGATTTAATTTTGCCAACTTTCCAGACATGCATAGGGGAGAGAGAAGGATGCTGAGGAGGAAGTTACCTTCCGTTTGCCGTTACTTCCGTTCCAGCGGCACGCAATGCTCGAAGTCACGTGATTATACCTTTCGTGAAAATGAACGAAATACACTTTATAGCAGCAGATTTGAGGTTCTGAGGCGCGTTTTCGGTATTCTGTATGAAGTTAAAAGTCCAAAAACGAATTTCTCCCGCAGGAACACGATGCCATTTTTGAGACTTTCTAATTCGGAGATACAGCTTTTCTAAAATTTACAGCTTTTCTGAAATTTAGTCTTTTCTGACATAAGAAACGTCTTTCATAAAGTTTCACAAAATGTTTTCCTGCATTTCTCAGTCTATTTATCATCTGCAAATCTTGGCAAATACTGCCACTGCATGAAGCGTAAGATTAACTTACCCTGCGAGTGATTTCGCAAACAGCGAGTTGTTCTCTAAATCTTCTGTATAATACTATTTTCAGACCGAAGGTCACGAAACGCAGCGTCAACTTTTTCCGATAAAAGCTTTTCTTGAAGAATTAGTTTGAACTGCAGGTTCAAGCAGCAAAGAATACGTTCGGCAGGATAAGAATGGCAAAGAATGATAACTATGAACTGCTTTTTAACATTTGATGACTTGCACCTGCTCAGAAAATTGTGATATACAGAAGCAATACATTTACATCTAATTTAAGCCTATTTTATTTTTAATAATGTACTTACTTTAGTTAAATTAAAATTTAAATTATGATGTGCAACTCGATTGACGTACTTTAAACACGTTATTAAGGTGTTAAAAGCTGAATCACTAGCATGGATAAAGATAACTGAAATTTTAAAAATAACCTTCCGTTTAACATAAAAGAAACTAGATCATCTTGAGAGTAAAAAAACAATGTTCAAAACTTTAGAAACTCAAAATTAAATCGTTAAGGTAGTGGTTAAAACACTTCATATACCTTGTACTTAATTCTGGATAGACTAATAAAATACTATATCAACTTACATACTGCAGGCAACCAGTCATAGGAATGCTACAGAGTAATGATAAGAATGTTCGGTACTTTTCCGTTTTGCCGGAACAAGCGATAAAGTCGCCAAAATGGTACAACCGATACCAAACGGAATATCCTCGCTGGTAACCTTTCACGCCTCATTTTTAAAACAAGCCGCAGCCATTTCTTATCAGATTGATTATATCTTTCGATACTGGCATACAATTACATAGAATTTTTACCAGATAGTTCACTTTTATGCCCTAAGGCCATTCGCGGTAATTAAGTCAATTAGGAGGCAATCACACCGCTTACCCAAAGGCGAAAATATAGAAAAGGTAAAGTCAAGGGTTAAATTCATCCATTCTAATGAAAATGCACTATCGAAGCAAAGCACTGAGGTTTTATATAATTTCTGAATAAGCTGTTCGTACGAATTGAAATAATTCTTGCATTTAAACTTGTATTCCAAATTAAGATTTAACTTGAAATTAATGTAGATAATTACTGAGAGAATTAGATTTGTATAGCGTAGTGATGAGATCACTTGGTGAAATCACGTGATATGAAACAGCGAATCAGGATGTTGTACCATAAAAGCATAGTGAATTCTTAAATAAATGTCTTTTTACAAATTTATCGTCTTTATTTATTATTTTATGAATTTAAAATAAAAATTTATTAGAACTAACATTTGTTAAAATTTTTTTATTTGTATACTGTGTGTTGTCGTCACTAAAGTCTGCTTGGCGAGATTTGCGCCGGTGAAACGGAAAAATACCGAATGGTCTAACCTCGGGTGAGTGTGTTAGTTTTATATTCCTTTGGTGGCTGTTGCATTGGGTTCAATTTAAAAAAAATATCGAAATTTCTCTAAAACAAATCAAAATAATATAAATCACGTATTCATAAGTCGAGATAAACTTCGTTTGTTTTTACCCTAACTGAATGCTTATACATGTATGCATGTTTGTATGCAAGATGTATGTATGTATGTGCGGATTTGACGCTGAAACTGTTAGGATGCTTATTCATTTTGAAAAATCTGCACGCAGGAATAAAATGGGCTGAATTAGGACTATACCATCGAGCATCATAAATTCCAACTCCATTCCTTATTCCTTAAAGATGCTTGAAACACTGCATTATAATACTACTAGGAATGTTGATAAGCCCACCAGCAGCCGAGCGGTAAAGTCGCTGAACGCTGGTAGTTCGGTCCGAGGTTCGAATCCCGCGAACGGGCTGGCTGCATGGGCGTTTTCGTGGTTTTCCCCATGTGTAACGTGTATACGAGCCAGTTTCCCTTAGAAAGACCTCCACGAAGGCATCCCTCCCCTTAGGCAGATAGCCCTCGAGGCTTTGCCATAATCACACACACACAGGAATGTTGATAAAGTTCTAAAAGTGAGAGCAAATTTAGCAGATTTTACATCTCTTTCATATAAGGCGTCCTTTTAACATTTACTACTCCGCGATATTCATAAAGAGCAGAGCAACCTGGTGAAATTATAGCCTGCTATGCCTCTAAGAACATTTAATGCATCCTCGTGCTCTAAAGTGTGATACTACAGAAGCGTCTGGTTCGTTTTAAGAATTTTTGTTTTCATTGGTATTAAAAGAGGCTAGGCATAAAAGACGAATTACCTTTATTTTTATGCCATTTTTTATGTACTGTCTCTATCTCTTTTTACTTCCTTGTACGAAGGAAAAAAAGTATTGTGATCGCGAAAAGTTTGAGGCATCATATTTAAACGAAAATATCCATTTTGACCG